TTTCCAATCAGAGACATTTAAACATCACATCATTTGGGGGTGGTACAAATAAATTTTCGGGCGCCACACTCTCTAGATAAGATCCAAAAGGTAGTTTTAGAACCAAGGCTTATACAAAAAACATGGAAGTGGGGGGGGTGCACCACTTTTGGGATTAAGAAATATACCTGAAGACTATTAAACTGTGCGGCGTATACTTGCCGCACAGTATCAATTCAGGCTTGATTTGGTCTAGGTTTTAGATTTTTTCTGGCCTGACGATGTAGTTCTTAACTAAAAAGAGGAATGCCACTCCAAGTCTCACAACAAGCAGTTTCAATGACTTAGATTTTATGCCTTTATCAGATTAGGATTTGACATTTTTCATTTTTACCTCATCCCACTATATGGGATACCCCTCCCGGCGCTATGCTTTTTTGAATAAACCTTCGTTCTACTGCCCATTTTGGGATCTTATCTAAAGAGCGCGGCTCAATATATATTTTTAATTACTTCTGCGTAAAGTGGCATTTAAATGGGGTTTCAGTAAATAAATCAGGGTCACCGTACTTTTATTGATCGCACTTTGCTTCATCGTTTTAGTTATATTATTTTAGTCGCGATTAAATTTATTTAGGATTCATGTTTATTTATATCTTTCTTATTTGCATTATAGCGTACCCATTTCTGATGAACCGCGTTGTGCACTTTATATGTTTTTTTTTAACCCGGAACGATCGTCTGACAAAAAGGTTTCCCTATCCTATGGACATAATAGCGCATCGAGGTGGATCCTTTATTGCACCAGAAAATACATTATATGCTTATGAGAAAGCATTAAACATTGGTGGGACTAACATGCTTGAAATGGACGTGTGGATGTCTTTCGATAAGAAAATCGTTGTTTCACATGATGATGACTTGAGTCGTACATGTGGAAAAAAGTATGATAATGTAAAGATATCCGAGCTTGTCGTAGGTGACTTTCCTGAACGTACCTTGCCCCAGTCCTTGAGAGTTATTCCATTATACTACAAAAATGGAGATAAAACATTCTACGAAGCATCCGCTGATGTACCCATTGATAATAGAACTCGAGTCTGCTTGCTGACTGAAGTCTTTGAGATATTCCCGAATATACCTATGCACATAGATATAAAAGTCTTAAGTTCTGAAGCAGTTTATGCTGTACTTGATATGATTCGAAAGTATCACCGTGAGGATTTTACCATTGTTGGAAGTTCTGTATCAAAAAATAAAGCATATATAAAGAAGTATTTCATAAAAAATCCCGAAATTCAATCAAATTTTCGTATTTTTGCGAATAAAAGAGATTTCTTGTTTGTTTACATATATTATTATTTGGGTTTATTACCTTTCATTAAACAAGATTTCGACGTTTTTTCGATTCCCGTATACACAACCTCTATGTGTGAGGTGGCAAAAAGTGAGTATGGTTACACAGCATCGTTATTTGTGTCCTTTTTACTAAATTCACCAACCTTGTGGAAATATCTTCAATATCGTGGTATTCCTGTTTTGGGTTGGGTTATCAACGGTTACTCTAATCTCGTTCAGGCCTCTCGTTGGCCTCTAAATGGTATTATGACCGATGATCCACTGTCTTTGTTTAATTTAAGGCAATCAAAAAAGATATCTTAACATTTTCTCTAAGTTATAATTTATTGTACTTAAATTCAACGTTACCTGCTGTCGACATTGCCACGGGACTGTCTATTGTACTGTAACTCTTTAACATTCATTTATCAATTAATTCTATTAAATAATGTACCATCTTATAAAATGTCTAGAAGCTTTTTCGTATTTGATTTTTACAATTTAGCAATATATTTTTCACTTATCAATGATATCATCATTCTTTTGTTGTACTTTCGCCAAGTTGCCTCAGTTTTAGAATTTCCATTTTTTTTAAATGGCAAATATGAGTGCTACAGTAGACTGAATCATATTTAAAGAATTGTGATATAAAGGTTAGTTAAAACGAAGAGCTTTCGCGTTGAATATAATTTCACTTTTCTATTAATAATCTTTCTTCCTATTTCTTTATTTAAAGGTGTCTACACTGTTTCCATTTTGGGGGTAATTATAAGCAAGGAATGACATTGATTTTTTCAAAATTCCACTTTTAATTTCCTGGAATTTCTAGTTTAGCTCTTAGCTATCTAAGTAGGGAATCAGATTATATAAAATTACATCAATGTTCACAGGGAATCATAGATTTGACTGAATTAAGGTATAACACAACTTTATTTACAACTTCCCTTTTTACTAGTAACGATTTTTTTACCTACTAATCACTTTTACTCTCAAAAAAATGAATGATGAAAATATTTCACAAGAAAAACTACAGGGTATCAGGTCCACAATCCACCAATTTTTATCTCGTGCTAACGTTTACTCATCCATTCGAGATATAGTTGATTCATATGTGGCGGAATCTGAGGGAAAGGAAATTACCCCTAATGATGCTAACGAGTTGATGCAAGTCATAAAGGAAAAAGGCGTTTTACAGCAGCTATTAAAACAAGTGCAAGGTGAAATATCTTTGAAGAATCAATCAAAAACGGTTGAGGCATTGCAAAATATTGCTTCAGATGAGTACTTTCTCCATGTTCGTCTGAATGGAGGAAAAGCTTTTCTAGACAATTTAAACATACCACACTTATCTTTGGAAAGATACTTCATGTTTGTAGGCTTGCAGTTTGGTGATCAACGATTCTGTTCTTTGCCGAAGGAGTGCGGCAGTAACCCTAAGTTCACTGATGATTTCCTTCTTGTTCTTGATGCATCTCGTTTAGGGTTTCCACCGGAGGATCTGATGGAGATTTCTACACCGTTTCATATTGCAGTTTTTCGTGAGGACAGTTCACTGGGCGTTTCAGAGGTTATTGGAGAGAATATCATTGATTGGAGGAAAGTTTTAAAAACTGGATATCTTAGCTTAACAGTTGAGCTCTGTGGCCAAAATTCGGGCATACCTGCTGGAATTTTACAAATGCAGCTTGAATTAGTTTCACAAAAAAAGATTTCATACAGTGAAAATGATATAATTTCAAGGCTTGATAGGCAACGGGAGACTATCACTGCAGCGGATCGTGAATTTCTTGTTTATGCCCGTCGATGGTGGTATGAGTACACACTGAACAAAGAAATGAAAAAACGGAAAGTGAAGCTATTTGCTAACACAATGAGTGGCCGAATGGTTCCATTGACACATTTTGTTACGCCGATTCAGTCAGTATATGGTCTTACTTCTCCGTTCAATGCACTTCGTTTTGTATCACTATTAAAAGTCATTGGGGAAGGTGAAGAATCATCCTTTTTTCCAAAAGGGTCCAATGACTCAGAAACATGGCTATCAACTTTTATTTTTCTTTCCCAGAAACAAGGTCATCCTTGCAATCATGCAAGTTTGTTGTGCTCTCTCCTACTAGGATTTGGCATAGACGCCTACTGCGCAATTGGTTCCGGGCCAAAAAATGAAACCTCTACATTTGTACTATCCAGATCTAAGACTTCTGATGGTGTTTTTAATGTAACTGTTTGGCAACCTGTTACTGGAGAACGTGGAAGCGTTTACGGTAATCACCCTTTTTTAACAGTGGATTGCGTTTTCAATCACAGGTGCTTCTTTGGTAATTGCCAACTTACCAATTCTATTCCAAACATTTTTTTTGATTTTGATAATGAGGAATATTGGAAGCCAATAAATCCACTGAAACTTAGGCTTGTACCCAAGTTTCCTAGCCCTCCTATCCTATACATGCCGATAGTCTGCCACGAACTTGAGAAATCACTTGAAAAAAAGCTACGCTTCCTCTTGAGGCATGACAGAGATTTAATTGGTCAGACAACATATTTTAATGATAATTTATCATATTTACTTGCGCAAGCCCTTGACAACTATGAGAACCAATGTGTCACACAAAAAGAGCAGGACTTTTCCATATTTGAACAGTGTGTCAAAGGGGTGCTGGGGCCAGGCAAGACATTCAAAGCTTTGCCACTCAATCTTTCGAATGAATGTGATACTTATTTAATGAGTGTATTGAAAAAAAGTGATGTTGGTAAAGAAATTATCGAGACTGTTGCTGAAGACGCCAGGTTTGCACTTCGTGTGAGAGTTTTCCCATATCCTGAGGGTGTTAAATCTGTTTGGGCAATGTTTGCAGTGGAATATAGGTTGTTGGAATAGTTAAAAAGAAATAGATATATTATTTTGGATTAAAAAATAGAATAGATTAATATTAATATTAGTTTTACACCTTTTGATACATATCTATATATGTATGTTATTTTTATTACCTTCATGTAGCTTTTTATTTCCTTTTAAAATAAACTACATAGAATGAGCTTAACAAAGTGATTATAAATACTCATTAGCAAGTGTATAATTTTTATTTAAATACTTTACGATTAAAAGATACAGTGGGTAGTTCTATATATATATATATATAAATATATATATATATATATATATATATATAATCAGCCATGCGTCGATTAC